TCCCCCTTCCCTAGAAAATGTTATTCCATTTTAAGTTTTTTTTTTTTTATAAAATGATGATACAAAGTACTTAAGCGTATTGCCATATATTGTGTGTGAAAACAATAGTTTTTCCATTTAATACTGAGCCTTGACCTAACATTTATTAAAATATTTTTTAGGGAATTTAAAAACTATATGACAACCTGCAAAATATTCGGTCTACTGACGATAAACAACGGATCGGTATAATTTTACATGTGATTAAGTTATAATATACTTCTAGTAACGGCCTTCCAGTGGCGTTATACAAGTTCGGAACAGCAGAGCACAGCTGTACGTGCTGAATCACAAAATTACGTTCCTTTCACTATTTCAGTTTGTTAACGTTCATAAGTAGGGCACAACTCCCAGAATACGTGTCCTTAAATTACAAAACGACTGAAACAGGGATTTGAACAAAATTATTTAAACTTTAATCCTTTCTCGCATTTCCTTCTTTTATCCTGTGTCTTCCTTCATTTTCTCATCAATTTTGTAGCCTGATTCCTTCTTACAGAGCTGATAAATGTTTCAGAGCATCTACTGTCGTATACCTGGAGATACTGTGTTTTACAGCAGAGGAAACCTAGGCTAGTGACCGGCTATAGAAATACAAGGCATAGAAATTCATGAAGTAATCCTCGCAAATACAGCAGAAACATAGGGTTATAATAATTAACACGTTTGCCGCTGTCTCGTGTAATTTTATACTTTCACAATTCCCAGGCAGCGAGATGAAACAGCTCTGTCAGCAAAATTACATACTACTCTCCGAAACACCGTGGTTTGATTCCCAGTAGAGACATTATTTGTCTCGTCGCCATTACCAGACTACAAATGGGAGTGTACCGAGCCTCTTATGTAATGACTCCCAGGACGGAACGTGAAGTTAGCTACTCGCATTAACCTACAGACCGAGATTAAGAATACGTGGAGCTTTACCTCCACTCTCTCAGCAATTGATGCAGTAGTTCGTATAAGGGCGATCTACGATTAGAAGACCGAATTGTCCTGACCAGATTTTCTCAGCCTGTTCTGGAAAATTCCAGCAAAGTCTTCTGAACCAAGGCACGGGAAATCTCGTTAACAAATAACTCCTTACACTTTATCATATTCCAACTTCATACGTCTACATAACCTTTGCAGTTCAAATAGGGTCGTTAAATAACCTACAAATCAATAATTAAAGATATCCGTTCTCGGAGACACCTTTCCTTCAAATTTCTTTAAAACAACCCAGGACTAACTCGTTTCGCATCCTTCCTAATTCAATATAATTCAATAATACATTGTACCATAAACGCACATTATAATTTGAGGTAGAACTGTCTAGCGAATTTCAAAAATACTATCCCAACATTTGCCTGGAGGGATCGAGGAAAACAATGGAAAACTCAGGATCCGAACGGGGCAAATCATTAACGCGATAATGACTCATTACCCCTGTGCTAACTCTCTCGGTCACTCCAGGATGAAACGTGAAATAGCTCTCGCCAGACGGTAGGCCTACGTGCATAGAAAATATTACCATGAAGGAAACATATCAGTTTTGTTGACACGCTCGATTGACCATTAATAATGTAAACAGACTGCAACTGAGTAGATTATCTCCCCCACCCCCCCCCCCCCCCGCCCAACTGCCTGATGAGGCGTTTTGTGTGGACGATCCGTTCGGCAAGGCGGTCAAGCTGTTTTGCGATGCCCGAAAAAAAATTGGTGATTTACCGGGAGTGATCTAGAATGAAGCAGTTTCAAACCCGGACGGTATTTCTGGATATCATGACTAAGATTTCTCGTGGTTTTCCTCCGCTTTCCTTCCAAACCATTACGCGCATTCCTGATTATCTTCCTCTAAAATTATTTATCACAGTCGTTATGTGCCACTGTTGCAGAAATTCCAGGATAGATTTTCGGTACATAAAAGACAAACCCTTTCGTTGCATATAATTAATTTATTTTTGTCTCCGTTTTGTAATAGTTTAAGTAACAACAAACAACGCAATCACGTTAATTCTTAGCTGGTAACAGTAGAATTATAAATTAGATCTAAAGTCCCCGGGGTTATGTGACCTCTGTTGTAAAATCGGCAGGACAGATGTAGGTTAAATCCCCTCCACCCATCAATGCCCTGTCAATTTTTCAAAGAAATTATCATTCATCTTTCCTTGACTTCACACCCAGTGACTGTTCTGCATTACGTAATTATTCTTGTTGCGAAATTTATTTCTGCTCTAGGAACGACTTCTATAAACACGTTTCAACATTCTTCTCGTTTTATGTAGAATTATCAAGTTCAAAGGAACTTTATGTAGACGGGAAATCTATTCTCTATATAATAGCAAATGTCCGTCACGCCTGACGGAACACATACGCCGTTCGTGCGGTGTGGGTGAAATTTAAATTAAGTTGTCACATTGGCAACAAATGTAAACGAGGCTATGGTGGTGCCTACGGTGAGGCCTGGGGGAGACTGGTTTTGGCAGAAACCTATTCTCAATCGCTGTGAAGACGTTTTAGCATTTAATTTACTTAACACAGAGATTTTATAGATTCAAAACTTTCAATGGGATTTATAAAGATAACGCTGTAATAAATAAATATAATGTTAAACATAAAAATTAATTATTCCCGTCAACTTTGACGAGTCACGAAGCTAGTTGTACGGATAATGAAGTGAGTGGCGGGGAATGTAGAACGAGAGAGACGGAAACTCTCAACAGAAAATATTACTTTGGATTCGTGGCTCGAGAAATAGTTTGAAGGCTGGCTTTTGTGAACTCTGTAGAGAATCTTGGCGATACATTACAGGCGGGTAATTAGGCAAACTTCCATCACCTTTTCAAGAAGGAAATGTGTTAGTAAAGTTAGTTCATTTTCGTCTTGGTAGACAAGCAAATTAACTTGGTTAATTACGCGGAAGTGAGCGGACTGAGATATCTGGGTGTGACTCCGATAATTGCAGTAGAAATTGGAGAAAAACCACGTAGCGTAGAAGATGTTTATGACAAAAGAAAAATAAGTGAATGGGACTTTCGTAGAGAAAACAGATTTTCGATTATAAGCAGCATTATCTGAGTAAACTCACGAGAATTAAATTAAAACATTATTGCAATAACAGAGTTTGATGAGACAACAGACAAGAACAACACGGAAGAGTTCTGATAAAATCAAGGAAATTAAGGAAAGAAAAGTTGGCTATTTTTTTTGTTAAAAGATTTGGCCCGAGAAACTTACAGATCCATAAGAATCCTATGAGTTTTATGGGCATATGAATCCAAACAGATGTATGCATTAACAACGGCTTTAAGCAGGGATATATCAGCACCTTATTTAAACAAGTTTTGAATAATATTTTCCGCATTCCATGCCTCCTACTACTACCAATAACTCGCACATATAAATATAAATCCCCTCTGAATAAACAACGTCTCAACTCCGGAACCACTAGGCGTGTTCTGATCAAATTTGTTGTGGACATTTGGCGAATTTAATGTACCAAAACCTCTCACTTTTAAATTTCCTTCAACAGGAAATAACAACATGGCGACCGCGCGAACGAGGACGTCGGAACTATCCTAACACCACTTAATACAGTGTCCTGAAATGATGAATAATAATACATCAACGTAAAATATATATCCTCTGTTATTATCTGTAATTTTATGAAAAACAGTATGAATTTATGGAAATACATACATCCCCCCCCTCGCCATATATACATATACGTTCATGCGTACATGCATATGTCTGTACGAACACACATAAAAAAAATACGCACATACACACATACGCAAATTAGCGCATGTGAAATACCTGTGTGTTTCGATAAGTATTTTGCTTATCGAATCTTATATGAATATACTAACACCCCATAATTGTTATCATAGATTTAGGTACATCTCCTTTAATGTGTGCACGATCTACGGAAAATCGCGTATGATGTTCTGATTTCTCTCTGCAGATGCAAATCATGCTCGCATAAGACGAGAGGCGTAATGGATGAAGTAATGTCACCAAGGACCGAGCTGGAATTAAATCATTTTAGATCATCACAAATCATCACTTCAAAGGAAACGAAATCCCGGCGACGACTTCACCTCTTGGCACAGTTTCGACAGCAGATCTAAGCGACGTCTCCAAGCGCCGACGGAAAACGTCTTTAAAGGGTTGAATCCATTGAGCATTTAAACTGTGATCCAAACAATGATTCTCTGTGAAAAATATCTGACATTTCTAGGAATGTTAAAAAGCAGTTTTCGGTACAAGATTTTACAAGCGACGTAAAATATTTGTTCGCGTATCGAAATCAACCTTCAAATGAAGACTAATATTAGTGCATTAAATGAATATCTCTTTAACTGCGTTCATACTTTGAATTCAATTAATGAAGATATTTGTCACATAATTCCTTACGGGCGTCGGCCTATGTGTGATATAACCAACCATTTTCAATGACTGTCTCGTTCTCAAGAGAAATATAAAATGATTTGTCGAAAAACAACTGCCTATCTTCGACAAGAGGTTATAGAACTTTATTCAGAAAATAAAAATTAGATTTTGCGTGTTTAAAAAACCATTAGTAAATGTAGACGTGTAGAGTACACGTCCTTAAGTAATCATGAATAAAACTTATGACGCGTTATGTAAACGCGTGAGTATGAACAAACGAGTTCTGTATGAAGCTGTAACAATTCACTAACGCTTTCCAACACATGAGAAATTGCTACTCTAAAACATTAAATTCTGAAAATGGATTTCCCTTAAACAATATGTCGAGTCCTGCCGAACTAAACAAGTGATGGCGGGAGTTTGCGTCTGATGAGGTCGTATTTGAATACAGCGCGGATCCAGACGATTTCCA